GGTGCACCCTGGAGTTAGCTTCCAGGCATACTTTCCAGTAAGTAACGTGGATGCATGGCTAATTTAGCAGTGAACTCAGGCTGGTGCTGCTCTATATGGTGTTATACAAACACCACCCAGAACTTCAGCACCTCACAGGACCACGTTCTCCCTTCGCAGTGCAATTAACTGACATTAAGAAAATTCTTTGGGTCACATGAAAAAGGAGAGATTGTATCCACATCATTTTTCCTACCTTCATATTCTCCTGCAAATACGTATCTGTCCACTTGTAAAATGGGCCTCTCTGACTCTATTCCCTACAAAAAGAGGGACAAAATTGCACAGATGTCAGGTCTCTATTAGCCCAGGCAAATTTCTTGCTATAAGACCAGAGAAGACAGATATAGCAGAATCCAAGTTACATCAATTCCTTGAAAAGATAAATAGTTAAAAAAAAACAAAACAACATAAGTTAATAGCAGTAAAATAAGTATTCCATAACATGGTAAACGTGAAATAAAAAGTTTCTTTTGGTGTTAGAGAAAAGGAATGGATTCCAGACTGTAAAGCTTTCTCAAACTGTCAGCTTCATATGAAGAAAAGTACATATTTAAAACAGGATTTATGGAAGTGGATAAGAGAGTTCTGCAGAGGATAAGATTTTACAGAAGCTAGCAGACTCCTGAAAGAAGGGCAAGACATGCAATTAAATTAATATTTATTAGTTTTCAAAAAAATGTAATAGAAGTAATTTTAGTTATTACAATTGACCCTGAGGTCTTCTGCAATGTTAAACATCAGGGGCGGGGGGAGAAGGATTTTTCTTTCTGTTTTTGTCGGAGGCTTAGTTAAGCAGTGATAACAACTGTTACAAAGGGTTTAGCCAATCTTACTGTAGAATCAGTGTACTGTTAAAAAAAATAAAAGGTAATGACAATTTTTCAGTCTATCATCATACATATTACTTTAAGTGCACTGAATACAGAGAATATACCAGATAATATTGTTCTAGCAATCACAACAAAACCACTGATGCTGTACTGGTATAGAAAATGCTTTAGTATGTTAAAAAGGATCAAAGACATTTAGCTCAAACTGCAGCCAATGGTCTATTTAGGTTACAGTAAATAAATTTAAAGTGCTGTTATTTCTTCTAGGAAATTAATTTAACCTCCATTTTACATTAACAAATAAAAATATACGTATTCGCATGAAAAAAGAGGTTATTTTCTAAGTTCCAATTAATACAAGTTCTGTAAAGTGGAATAACTTTCAAAAGTCTTTGGAAAATACACAAGGTGAAGTAGTCTGGCATAAAGCATTACACCACCACCAGAAGTGCAATTGCAGGGTCACAGAAGCTTCTGTGATTACTGCATGTCTACATTGTGAAGGAGTTGGAAACTGTTGTTATTTTATTTTTTTAAACAAGGAGCGGGAGAGTAAGGCAGCAGTTCTATCAGCTCATTCCCTTCCTCTACAGCAGAGCTTTTCCAAATACACAGGCCAGGATCCCATTATTCTTAACATAAGATGTACCTCTCAACTGTATTTTGATAAAAATTAACGCCTGAACGGAATATACTAATTAAGGCAAAATGTCTTTTAATAGTACATTGTGAACATCAACGTTATTCAGGACATGAAGATAAGCACATGCTAAAAGTTTTGAAGATGAGGCACTATGTGGTAAATTGTGTAAAATACAGAATATCACACAGGTTAATAGGAATTTGTGCAATTTTCCTCTCGTACTTTTAAAAAAAATAACTATCTAAGATCAGCGAGATTTAAGCTCTGGGATTCTCCTTCTGCTGCATAGGTTAAGAACATCAATAGCATTAAGCTAACATATAGCACATTTTTGGTTGTTTTTTTTACTACAGGAAATTAATTTTAAAAAAGAACCACATCAGTACTAGGCAACAGCATTAAGGTTTTTAATATTCAAAACTTTATTTCTTTGGCTGATTTGCATTCCTTTTTGGACTATGCAGAAATGGAGACTGTCTTCCCCTTATGTGACCAGCATCACAGAAAACTTGCTAAACAGAATAACACAAAGCAGAATCTTTTATTGGATTTTTAACAACAGTTGTCCGTTATGAAAAATCTCAAGGAACGCTTACTCTGTGGAGTGAGCACAGGTAGATTTGGATACGAGTAGGATACAGTATAGATACTTAAAAGTTTTTCCAGAAACACTACAAGAGAATCTCAAAGCACAAAATTTAAAAGAATCCCGTTAACACTATTGAAGAATATGTAACTATTCAGCCACCAGTAATGAATCATCTGTGTAATACATTTCAAGCAACTTAGGTCAGATCCAGGAAGCAAATCTGCTTATAAAAGCATATCCATCCAGTGATGGATAATTTATGAATTTTGGTTGTATTTCTACATTTGATATTTTCGGAATTGACTTTACCACCTCACATGTATTCTGAACAGTGGCATACTCTGAGATGTTCTCTTCCATCTTTTCAGTCTGTAATAAAGGTCTAGTTTCAGAAAGTATTTGCAAATCAATAGTACTTGTACTATCTATATGGCTCTCATAGTCCATGTAGGTTTTGAAGGGCAAATAAAATTTGTCCTATACAGAGAAAGTGATTAAACAACTCAAAAGGACTGGTAAGCCAGGCTCTTACAATAACCTCACAGGGAAGCAAACAACATCGAAAACTGTTTACCAAATGCTTAATACCCAGTTATCCTTTACATTTACAACACTTGAACTTGCCAGGCAGTATCTGCAAAAAACCCCATTGTAAATACAGTGCAATTCAGAAAGACTTTGGCTTTATCTATCAGCTGTATTCAAGTTATTTGAAGAAGCGTGCTTAACTATTTTTTTTTGAATGTGTAAAATACATCATTAAAAAAAGAACTTAGAGCTTGAATTCAGAGGGGATAATGGTCCTAGCTGATAAATATTTCTGAAAATATTTCCTTATATTTACATAATATCATAAGCCATTTCTGAAATAGAGAGAGCCCAACATGCAGCCAAATATGGCCAAGACAGTGCACATAATTCTCTATCAAAGATTTGATCTAAATGTTATTGACTTGAAGGAATTTAGAAACAGCCTCAGTCCCTTGTTCACAGGCATACTGACTTACCCCTTTCCTATTGTGCTGTAATCACTCACCAAAATCTTGCATTTGTTTTCACATTTTTCTAAGAAGTCTGAATCAATAATTCCTGATAGTTCCACCATGACCAGTTGCTCCTACAAGATAGGTTTATAATGTAAATCTATAATTGATATATCTGAACTCAGGAGAAAAAAAAAAGCCCCCCAAAAAACAACCCAAAACAAAAAGAACAGCATACAAAGACCCAGACCTTCAGAATAAACAGACCACAAATCTGACTTATTCTGCATTTTGTCTAGAGAAAATGGCAGACAGATATTGCAATACCCAGGGAAATGCAGTGACCCACTACTCCACCAGACACCTGTTTCACACCTGAATTTCCTGGCCTTTTCTTCCTAGCTAGGAAGGGAGTTCTTTTTTCCCCCTTAAAAAATGAGGATCGATATGGGTAAATGATTTATGAATTATAGCAACATGACCAGTTACATATTCCAAAACACATTTTTCAAAGTTTTAATACCTACCTAAATAAGACACCATAGCGAGAGGTTAAGCAATGTGTTGCTTGAAATAGTTACTTTTAACTCTTTGTAACATATTGCTTTGAAATCAATTCCCGTTTGCAATTCCTTACAATTTTGGGTGAGGAAAATACAAAAACAAAACAAAAAAATAGCCACCCTGAAAAATCTTTCTCAAGGAAGAGTTTTCAAGAATCACCATCTACTAAGCACACATAAATACACATAATAATAGCAGAGTAATAGTTTGTATTTTCGGATGTTATGGGGGTAGGAAGCAACTGAAACCGGACGAGTGCTTTCTGACACCGCCGTTTTCCAGAAAACCTGAACTAAAACAGCTAAAACGATACAGCTTTCGGCACACGACCGCTGCGGGGGCAGAGAAGCCCGACAGGCCCAGGGAAACGCGCTTGCTCTGTGTCCCACCCCACCGCCAGCCCGGGGGCAGCCATGGCGGCCCCCGCGCCC